TTATTCGACTGCACGAGATGATCAAGGTGCTCTGTTGGTTATATTATAATGAATCTCTAATGAAATTAAAGTGCTTTTTCCGTTTTTCATTAGTTGACATTGTGATTACTTTTAAAAAATTGAGGTTAATAAACTGATTTTGTCACTGTGGATGAGTCCTTTACTTGTGAGGATTATTACGATCACTACATTTAACATCATAACGGTCCATACCGGTAGATTGGAAAATCTTGGTGCTAACTTTGCAACCAAATTTTGATCAATCTGCGCATTCGGTTATATTGGATTTCTGTTTCATAGAACTGTTTTCAAATTGCTTATAAAAGTCTCACATGTCTGGAATTAGGAGCCTGGAAAGATACATCTTGTGCTCGAATACTGCAAAGGAGGTGATCTATCTATGTTCATACAAAGGCGTCAAGGTAGAATTCCCAAATCAACATCCTTGCACCTTATGCAGCAATTAGGTATGTATCCAAAAAAAATCCCCTTTTTAAATTACTAGTATTGGTGAGTGCTTGAACTCGATTGGTTTTTTTTGTACAGCTGCTGGTTTGAAAGTCCTTCGTGATAATCAAATTATCCATAGAGATCTAAAGCCACAGAATCTCCTACTCTCTTCAAATGAGGACAATTCAACATTGAAGATTGCAGATTTTGGCTTTGCAAGGTAAAGTAATTCCATCTTTATATATAACCATGAGCCATACCTTAAAGCTTAGATACAAAAATAATATGTTATTGTATTTACAGGTCTTTGCAACCTAGAGGCCTTGCTGAAACCTTATGTGGCTCACCACTTTATATGGCACCAGAAATAATGCAACTTCATAAGTATGATGCAAAGGTACTACTTTCTGTAAAATTTCAGGGTATCCTTTACTTTCCTTTCTGTTTCAATCTATATCCTATATTAACATAGAAATGGAAAAACAGGCTGATCTATGGAGTGTTGGTGCTATTCTATTTCAACTTGTAACTGGGAGAACACCATTTACAGGAAACAATCAAATTCAGGTTTATATATTACCATCAGGTGTTTGGGTTTCAAGGATATAATATATATTTTTTCTATAATAGTTTAAGTTAACAATCATTTCACCTTCCACGCAGTTGCTTCAAAATATCATGAAATCAACAGAATTGCAGTTTCCTCCAGATGTAAAGGACTTAAGTCCTGAGTGTGTTGATCTCTGTCGAAAATTACTGCGACAAAATCCAGGTATTTATAATTTAGACTCATAAAAGAAATTAGAAGCATGGTTTTATTTCAATTGATCAAGAATTATAATTACTTAATTACTTTGATGGACAGTGGAAAGATTGACTTTTGAGGAGTTCTTTACACACCCATTTTTCACCCAATCAAAACCTGATGAAATGTCAAGGAAGCCAAGAAGAATGACAGATGGGTTTTCTTACCCTAAAAGCCCAGCTTATAAGAACAAAGAAGAAAATTCACAAGAAGATAATTTACCATTCACTCTAGATGATGAATCCAATGGTCCTGATATGGTACGAAGGTCACCTTTAAGATCTACATATGGGTTTTCTTTAGATAATGAAGTTGATAGAACAAACTTTTCAAAAGACATGGAGATTTCTTCAAGGTATAGTAGTATCAAACACAAACAAGAAAATAACGGATTTGGACATGGAAATCGTAAATCATCAGAAGGGAATCTGAAAGAATCTTTGAGATCAATCGATCCCAGACCCGTAAATATCCGTTCCAAAGGTATGTTTTTCCATATATTTCCATTGTTAATTTATTCATCTTTTTTTTACATCATCATGAAAGTAAGTTATTGAATTTATCTTGATTTGTACAGTTGTGGATTCATTGGAGTTGATTGATCAGGATTATGTTTTGGTATCTGGTCCACTAGGGGATACTTCATCTGTAGCAAGTGTTAGTAAAGTGAGCCAAAAAGCATTTAAATCAGGAAGTCCACCTGTACATTCTAGGGGGAACATTCATTCAACACCTAGTGCACCTTTGCCCATCATTGGTGGGACCTCTAGTAAAATCCGGTTGACCGGGAGCTTTGAAAGTCAATGCTCTGCACCCTCTGGGACATCACATGGATCGGTTGATATAATTGATGCTTTAGAACAACCATCAACTGACAGCATGGCAAGAATCAAGTCATTGCATGATTGTGCCTCTGCTATCTCTGACTTGGTCAATGAGAAGGTGTGTTGATGCTTTCTGTGAATTAGTTTACTTTTTGTTATTGATTGTTTTCATTTTTTGTTATGAAAAAAGATCGAGTCTGGGAATCGACTTGAAGCATTTTCAATTCAGCTTGTGATTCTTGCAATATGGAAGCAAGCACTGGATATCTGTCACACACAGGCTGCTTCAGCTATTAAAGGAAGTCCAAGCCTAGATATTTCAACTTCTAACAAGACCTCAAAAAGGGAACGCGATAATACTGATATTAATGAATGTCTGGAAAATGCAAAGTCTCCGGAGGATGTTTGTTCTCATATTGAGAGAATATTTCTTGGTGAAGTTGAAACTGCTGAGGAACTTACCAAAGTTATAGAGCCTGGTATGCCTTTTAAATATTTATGATGAACCTTTTTTGTCTTTGGTAAATGATCTTTTGGTTTATCCATCGAGTTAAATCACATTATAATCTGATTATCTGGAAGAAAATATACTATGATGATGATAAGTTAATAATATATTGGCATATTTTTTATTTTATTTTTTTCTCTCTTCTCCAGGAAATGTTGGGATGCCGGATGCAATGGAAACAATATTTCAGGCTGCCCTTAATTTTGGAAGACACGGGGCAGTAAGTCTTTTGTTCACTTGTTAAAAATTTCATACTTACATTACATCTATACGATAATACGAATATAAATAATGCACACGAGTAAAAGAAAATAATTTATTGCTTATGCATCTCAAACGTGAGCGAATTTATTACTTGGGGAAGAACGACTAAATTTGAAACGAATTGTCGCACCTTTTTGGACGCGACAAAGAAATTGCAATTTTTATCGTATTGACATCAGTTCCAGTCTGTCAGTTCCTGTCTTGTCATGTCCTGTCCTGACAAAAGTGTGTGTGGATTTGGTAGGTGGATGAATACATGGGGTTTGCTGAAAATGCGGCGGTGTTTTATTCAAAAGCAGTGCGATTGTTAAGTTTTCTTCTAGTGGAAGGACCTTCGCTGATTCTTAATCCTCCATTTTCTATCACAAATTCGGATCGATATAGGCTCAGAACGTATATCGATGTTATTAACAACAGACAAAGTCATTCAAGATCTCAAAGAATGACACTTCTCAAGGGTGGAGGTGGTGGTGATGATCAACATTCTTCAGCTTGAAATGAAATGAAATGAAATATGCAGTTTATATATTTTTTACTTAGAGAGGAAGGAGCATGAATTGTAAAATTCTTTGTTGTACAGCTATTCTTTATGTGACTGGGATCTGATTGTTATGTGGGCTGCTTGTGAATTGTGAATATTCAACATTTATGTAATTTTTAGACTGATAGCTCAAAAGGGCAGAAATGAATGAAAAGATAACAAAAAAAAAAAAAAAAAAACAAAATTTGGACAAAATCTGGAAATTTGGGAGTTTGAATTCGTAACTCTTCAACTTAGCTTATAATTAATTACAGCATAAAAGGTTTTTTTAACTAGTGATATTTAATTGATTAATTAAAATTTGATGTTTGTTTTAATATTTTGTTAAAGTTATTTTTATTATGAAAAAAATCTATTTATTTAAGTTAGAGAAAATTACAAAGTTAACGTAATTCATTAATCACAAAATAGCAAAAAATTAGGAGTTTTCATAAAATAGCAACACAAATTGCAAATGAGGCCATGAGGGGGCCTCATATGCGTTTTCGTACCTTGTCCTCAATCCTTTACCAAACTAACCAAAATGGTACATATATTTCGCCTCTAAGCAAATATGGTTTATATTTCAAGCTTTAAAAATTTGTGTTAAAATGTATTAATCATTTTCACAATTAGCTTCCCCCATCGCATATGTGTCTTTTTAAGACACATTAACGAGTTTCTATTTTAAGAAAGATGTAATCTTACAATGTAAATATAATATGATTCTTTGAGATCATTAGATCAAAACTCACCTAATATTGTCACAATAGCATTAAATAGACATAATCTCTACCCCCTTGGCCCTTGGTTTGGTAACTATAATCCCATGTAATCTCTGATGATTAATTTTATTATTTTAACAGATCCTAAAAAAATATTTGTTTTGTAGGTGACCAGGTGATTATTTACAGTCCTAATACATCTACAAAGTTATATATAAAAAAAAACTAGACCATCAATCATTTAAATCCTATATAAAATAATTATAAAACACTGTGAACTACGATTTATTTCATCATATGAAATGATAATTTGGGCTGAAACATGAAAAAAAAAACATAAAAAATAAGGTCATATACTTTTATTTTTATGGTTATATAATACAATACATGAAATTGGAGTTTAAAGCCTATATATTATTTAAAAAATATAGAGTTTGACTACATTAAAAATAATTTTAGTTCTCGTTTTAAAATTATTTATCATCTTTAAGTTTAAGACGCGAGCTTTATATCTAAAATAAAGTTAGCAGAAGTTGTAATTCTAACAAAAGTAAAATGTTTTTACACCATTATATTATATTTGAAATAAATATATATAAAAGGAAGAGACAACAATCAGTGTTATAAAATCAAACATTCAAACTGGTTATTTTATCATCGAAAAGAGATATTTAAGACGTGTGATATGTATTTTTTTGTTAAAAACTCCATCTCCTCTACAATTTGATACCATTACTTCTCATACCAAAAAACGAGTGTGTATGTGTGTGTGAGAGAGAAGAGACTAGAGTGGTGTATATATACGCACAACCCACCATAAGCATGCCAATTTCTGTGTAATTGTGCTCCCGCCATACTCTCTCTTTGTTGCATTTTCTTACCATTCTCGATCAAGGCATCAACCATGGGAGGAAAGGTACAAATCCACATTCTCTTCTTTTCCAAAATCGTATGGAAGCCGAACGAGTAACTTTGATTGAATTCGTTATGATACAAGTTTTATGGATAGAATAAACTCGTTGATTCATCTCCATGTTATTTTTCCATTTGTTTCATTATTTTCATCAAATTTCTAAAAAAAATTCTCTGCATACAAACAAAATGTGTGTAAGGGTAATACTGTGCACAGAACTATAGATCATACGATTGGTTGACTATTTGATTATATGATTCATGATTCTACTAGCTTCTTGAAGTATTGATATGTATCTATGTTTGATTTTGAACATGGAAGAACAAGCAACGGGGGAACGTGAATGGGAATGGGAACATCGAAGAACATAATCTCGAGGAAACTAACAACGATGGCACCGATGAAAACTCAAACGAATCAAAAGCCAAAAATAATAACAACAACAACAAGCAAGGTAACGTAGTGATAGTGTTGGGAGTTCACCTTCATTGTCAAGGTTGTGTTGAAACGGTCGTGAAATCGCTGAGGGGATTCGATGGTAATCACTAATTACTCAATAAATTAATCATTTATGGTGTTTGATTTGTATA